ATTCTGGGTTTGCTATCAATGAAACAGGCAAAAGGCAACGTTACATACACCTCCTGCCCCTTCGCTCACCTGGTTAGCCCGCAGCTTCACGTGTCTCGAACCCTCCGGGAAGTGTCCGCCACACGCTTCCCTTCTAAACTCCAGCAGCGTGATCGATTTCTCCCTCCGCCGATGGAAGCGCAGCGGCGCTCACTCAAGCAACGCTCGGTCGCAAGGGCATCTTTCCCACGCCGCGTTCAGCAGAGCAGGAAGCGGAAGAACAGTTACGCGTCAAGCTAGGCCCACGGCTCACCTCGCCAGCGACTCTCCGCGTCGGGGCGGACTCTTGACGGAAAGGAAGGGCGCGCAAAACCGATCAATTCCGCATTGTCGGAACCTTTCTGCATTCACGCCTCTCCTGAGCGCTCCCCAGTGGCCATAAACTGTAGAATTGCTTAAACTACAACGACGGTGGAAAAGCCAGGACAGAGTTTACGGATTAACAGAATTGGAAGGGACCTTGTAGGCCATCTAGTCCAGTCCCCGCCCAAACAGGAGATCCTACACAATTTCTGACAAATGGCAGTCCAATCTTCTTAAAAGCCTCTAGTGATGAAGCTCCCACAACTTCTCAAGGCAAGCTGTTCCATTGGTTGATTGTTCTCCGCTCCTGGAACAAGCTTTTTTAAATAAAAATCATGCTGCTAATAGTGCAAAAAAAAAATATTACAAAGTAAAAACAGTAAAGAAGCCATACAGAAATTATAACTCTTACAAGGTTCGATTAGCTCTTAACACTTCCAAATTTATCCTGAGCAATAGAATAACTCTTATCAGCAGCTTTCTCCTTGCCAGCCCAAATAGTGATATTTACCATCACAATTAGTGATGCAATTAAGATTAAACTGCCCTAAAGAACCCAGACTGGTCCCATTTACTAGCATATCACCCAGTGAGACAAGGAAAAAAGTGTTTTCTGCTATAATACATTGCATTGGCCCTGCTAATCTTTAGGAGGGGGATGGTAGAGGACAGGAAGGCCTGGAGGAATGTTGTCTATGGGATCAGGATGGGTCAGGCACAACTTTGAAACTAACAACAACAATCTTTAGGAAGGCCCTAAAAACATGGCTCCAGTACCATGCCTGGGGTCTGGCAATGGAGGGGAGTTCTTACAATCGATATCTTGAGCTGTGGCATGATGAATTCTATTGTTGATCATGATTTTTTTACAAGTTATAGATAGTTTTTATATTTTTGTTCATTGATTTTTAATTTGTTTTTATTGGGTTATTTTTTATCTTTTGTGAACTGTCTATAGTTGCTCAGATGAGATGGGTGGTCAAACAAATTGAATAATGATTTTAAAAATTCCAGGAGATTAATTTAATATGATTCCAGATCTCACACAAAAACATGTCCCACATCAATTCTGAATAAAAATTCACAAATCTAGTCAACGTTTTGAAATGGAAATGAATGTTTTAATCTATCATTCTAACTCCTGTGAAATGGTGATTTAGGCTAGAAGCTGGTATCAATATTTTACTTTTGCATCTGTGACTAGTAAAATATTGGGTTGAATGGAAATTCTGTATTCTCTGCAGCAATTCAAAATACTTTTTTTGGTAGGAAAATGACTGGATCTTCAAGCATCAATCCTTTTCAGATTTCAGTCTATATCTATAAAAGCAAAATACCACTCACGCATCATCACAAAATCTCCACAACCGTAAAGCCTACAAACTTGAAATTTGCCACGTATGTTCCTTTTGGCTTCTAAATGCTAAGAAAGGATTTTTCAAAATGACCATCAGAGCATTAGTATTTTGTATATTATTATTAACACAGTCTGATGCTAAGGAGTTCTACTCCCACTCCCCACTGAAAAGAAATCTGTTCCAAATGCAAAGCACAAGCAGAGGAGTGGAGTTTCAGTTTCATAGCAGCAAGCAGCTTTAGTACAGAACAGTTCAGCTAAACCATGCCCAGGCTCCTTGCTGTCTCCTTCTTGCTCAAACAGTTTTCAAACAGCCCTCAACTGTCTCACACATTGACAGGATGCTAGCCAGATGAATCCCCATGGATGCTGATAAGCAGAGGCAGAACCCCCCCCCCCCCCCCCCCCCCCGCGCTTATTTTCTTCCCCCAAAACTAAGCCTGGACACATAGTTTCATTGCGAAGCACAGGTATCAAGCTAGTAACAGATAAATTTTGCTGACCAAGAAATCGGCATTCCAAGCAGTTTTCCCCAATAAGGAAGAAACAAATAGCAGAATTAGATTCATAGTAAATTATCTTATTTTGCCAAGGCCTTCTAAATTGCATGGCCCATTAGTGGTTCTTTTTGGTCCTTATGTTTCATCAATTTAGTGTTGTCTTTTAGTGACAGACCTTTCCCAGGATGACCTGTTTCCAACCTAGCTCTTGAGGTATTTCAATAGTGGACCCATCAATGCTTCAAACAAGTCCACTTCACTTTGCTACTGATCAATCCCTTTTCTCTTTCCTGCTATCTTTCTTAGCATTATAAAGTTGTATTTTTTCAAAATGAGTCCAAAATACTATTTGCTCCTGCCCAACTGTACCTTGGATAAAAGTATCTGGATAGATTGGTTCCATTATCTGCTTGATTATTTTCTTGGTTTCCCAAAACCAAACTACAAAATCATCAATATCTTGCTTCTTCAAAATTCAACATTCACGCTACACATTCATGTATCACACAGAACACTGTTGCTTGAATTATTTTAAGTACATATTCCGACATCTGAATATCATTTCCAAGCATTGTATTGCTACACAATCATGTTACATCTGCAGTTTATTTTTAAATCTACTTCTTCCAATCCAACCTCTCACTATATAATCTCATGTAGACTGAATAAATATTGGGAAACTATATAACCTTGTCACATTGCTTTGCCAACTTGGGCCTAATCTGTTTTTTTTCATCCTGTGGGTTCCTCTCCTGCATATAGATTTCACTTGAAGATAATGAGATATCTTGGGAATTCAGTTTCCCAAGCACATTCCAGATACAACTAAGGCTCTAATCAGTTGGTTGCAAAATTACTTTCTCATCATGATCATAATTGCAAATAGCTGCTGTAAACAAGGCAATTCCTAAATGAGACAACCTATAGCGCTTTCTCATTTGTACAGACTTAAGCAGGGTTGTTTTGCCTCCTGCTATATTAATATAGGCAACTTCATTCCAATAAGATCAATTGCTCCTACTATGGAAAGAATGACCGCTCTCCTCCTTGTCACTAAAAGCTGCATTTTATTTTATTTTTATTTTCCCTAGGTGACATTGAGAAGAGTTCTGTCACTTTTAACCCAAGTAACAGGGAAAAAAGTCAAACCGCAGTCCCACCCTTTTAATTCATTTGGGAAAGGTAAAGAAACAGGAATCTACTAATCAGAAGTTGTAATGAACATCAGGTCATTATCAGAGCCAAAACACAAATGAGTTGAATCCCATAAAAGTCACTCTTAATCCAGCCTCATTTCTAGTTTATATGCAGGAGGCAAGCAATTTAAACAGCAGTGTGGAAAATCCCTTAAGAATATTGGGGATGAGATTAGATATGCACATTTGGTCTTATTAAATAGAGAACTGGATTAGGATGTAATAAGGAGTCCCTTAAAATTTGCTGAGCAAAAGAAACAAGCAATGATTGTTAGTATACTAATTTCAATTAGAAAGGAAACCATGCCACAGGCACACAACTACATTTTCAGAGTTGATTTTCTACAATTGAAATCAATAGGGGACACCAGAAATTGCAGTGTTTCAATCTAACCCATCAAGTTTATATATTAATAGCAAACTGTAGGTAGGACTGCTGTAAAACAAAGGATGTGCTTATTAATTCTGAGTATAAAATAAGTGTTAAGAAAATGGCCAGGGGAAAAATCTCCCAATCCAATGAAATAGTCAAGCAGAGTTCTATCAATAGAATATTGATTAATGTATTTACCTGAGATACAATTTCTTCAAATAATTTACTTTTAAAATGAATGTTGCCCTAATGAATTTTTCTCATAGTCTTTTTAAAAATGGTAATAGGTCAACTAATTCTAAAGTTTTCTTTTCAAATTCATATTTATTCTTTTCAAATTAATAACATAGAAAACAACAACTGGAAAAGGGGAGGATTGAAATGGTCTACTTTATGAATGAATGAATTCTTTATTGGCCGAGTGTGATTAGACACATTGGATTATTCTAATCTATTATACTTCATTTTAATTCTGGGTTTAAAAAGACATCCAGGGAAAAGTATTTTTTTGTTTCTAGGTGCAATTTTTCTAGCTGTCAATCAATGAAATATGAAGGTGGCTGGACCCATTGCTCCCCAGTTCCAAGGCTGCATTTAAATACTTTTCTGATTTAGACATTTGTGGACAAAGTTGCATAAGGCACCTTTCTCTCTCAGCCTAACTCACTTAAGAGGGATGTTGTGGGGGAAATAGCAGGAAAAAGGTGGGCTGGACATATTCCCTTCCTTAAATTGTTTTAAAAATAATAAAAGGCGGGATACAAATAAATAAAGTCAAGTCATGAACCCTCAACTAACCATACTAGCTGAATCGAACCAATTTAGTAGACACGGGACCGAAAGGGTCTAGTGAACACGACCTTTATCATCCCTTGACAGATTTAGTCCCAAGACTTTTACTAGATGTCCATCCTTTCGGTGGCACGAAGTGTATATAGGAAGCTATCCGCTGTGACGATCGAATCTTATTGTTCTGACGACTATTCCCCACAACGGAGGGCAGCCCAAAGGAAGCAACCGTGGCTCCCGAGACGTTGCACACTGCAAGGAGGCTGCCTTTTATCTTGCAGCAATCCCAATGCGCTGAAATCTGACCCTATTTCTCTAGTTTCGAGATTCTGGCGGCTGCAAAATAATACTTCTGAAGAGAAGGCAAGGTTCCACTGCTGCTTCGCTTCGCGCCTCCTCGGACTCTGGCGCCTGCTTTGCATTTCCCTGCTTCGATGCTGCAGACCGACTCCTTCTCATCCCGGGTTGGCTTTGGCGCACTGAGTAGTACAGTCCTTGGAATGACGTCACAAAGCCCCGCTCCAGTCACAAAACTGCCCAGCCCGGGCTCATAAAAAAAGGGCTGCGGGAGGGAGGGAGTGCCGGTTCTGCTGCTGGTTCGTGGGAGGGCAGGTATTCGGTGCACGGAGCAACATGACACTCCAGGTAATGAAATAAAAAAGCGGGAGGCGAGGAGAAAGAAGAAGGAGAGCTGGTTTTACCTTTGCGGTTTCTGGGCTTAATTGCACATGAAAAACTAGATCGTGAACGGGGGTTGCGAAGCGGGGGAGGGTCGTTTACTTGCTGGAAATCGGCTTATTTTCGGTTCATCCTATAAAAACCCACTTTTCTTTTAGTCTGCGTCGCCGCGTTGGCCAGTGACATTGATTCACAGACTGGCCAAACGCATTTGAATCTGCCCTGTTAATATGCGAAACGGTCAGTTACAAGTTCCCATGTGATGTGCGAACCGGGCTAACTTAGTTAAGTGAGTGAACCGGGATTCTAACCACAGGAGAGATATTCGTGGGACTAAAAGTGGCGAGAAAAGTTATTACTCCAATTCTGTATTCATTTATTTTGGGGGAAGTCTCTTGGAACTCGGCAAAGACTGGTGAACTCTCCGAGTGTTTAATTGGACTGCGAATCCATTACTGAAGCGGAAACAATGTAGGGCTTTGTTTCTTGGTGCAGAAATTTCTTTTCTTTCTTGGTTGCGAAGGAAGCAAGCAAACTCTGCTGATTTAAAATGAACTTGCTCTTTCACTTTTCTTTTCTGCCCCTTAGTGTGCGTGAGGACAGAAATGGGACTTCATACTTTTTCTATGCACAGTATAAATACGATCCTTAGAAAGGTATAAGTGCTTGTGACTTTAGAAATTTCTTCAGGCAGCTTCACTGCAGAGAATTTGATGTTCTTAAGGAGGCTAAGCTATCCATTGAGAATAATATGTGTACTGTAATGAGTCTCATGTGGAGAAAAGTCAGGTGTTTGATAATAAAAAGTGTTTACTAAGCATGATTGCTATGAAAATTTTGAATTTGCTATAAAAGCAAGGATTTGCCTATCAACTGGATTAGAGGTCTAGTTTTAAATGAAATGAGGAATGTGGGTGATAAGATCATTGCAATTCATTTCTAGGTTCATGTATAAAGGAATATAAGAAAACCCATGCTAAGTGGTCAAACCAAAAGCTATTAAATTCAACCAGGCAGCTGCTAATTGGAAATTGGACAATACACTTCTATTCCTGCTCCTTACAAGAGAGGCAGTGTGTTTCTGATTGCAAGAGCTACACATCTCTTTTGTGATTAATAGCTACTAATAACTGCGCTGTCTTTATGTTGATGTAATTTTTCCCCAATTATTCAGGGCTATGGCCATCACTGCCTCTTGTGAACATAAGTTGCATTGTTTAATTAAATGCTCCGTGAAAAAGTTATTGTTTCCGGGTTCATCCAGCATCTAGTATTGTGTATTGTGTAAAGGGAGGAAAGTTCTATTCCCCTGCTCCACATCATGTGTATTTGTAGGCAGATCTTATATTCACTTTTTTCTTAGCTAAATAACCACCAACACTGGTCACTTTTCCTTATAGCATCTTCCCTGCTGTGGTTCCATTTTGAAACCCTCTGTCTTGTGCTGGTTTCTTAGAAGCTTCTGCACTGCTGGCATGGATTTTTCCTTTAATTGAACCTGGCAAAGTTGTAGATAAACAGTATTTCACTTGCTTCTAGAAAATCAAACATAGTTCCCAATTGCACTCCTTGCCACCAGGTCTTGTTCTTGACTGCATATAATACCTGCTCCTACTTTGCAAATGTCTGGACTTTCCCTGGAAGAGTACTAAAGTAGTACGAGGAATAAAATTAGGAATAAACAGCAGTGTTCTTCGGAGTGGGCAACATTTGTAGCTAAGCATTCTAAGATGGGAGACCACATAAGAGTAATGTAAGGTAGGCTGGAAAGTTTTTTTAAAAATCCCTGAAGTAGACAGTAAAACCACTTTTGTAATTGTTATCAAATAAGCTGCAGGTTTATATCCAATTCCCTAAGAGTCAAACTCAATCCAGCATTTTTATTTTTTTTTTGTATTTGGAAGGCTGCTGTTGTAACTCTTTCATCCAGTGGTTTTTAAATACTGTGGCAATAGAAGAAATAGTTTAGTGTAGTAGTTAAAGACATTGAGCAAGAAACCAATGTTCTTGTCCTGCATTAGGCAGGCACAAAGCCAGCTGGATGACCTTGGGCCAGTCGTTTTTTCTCAGCTCTAGAAAGAAGGCAATGACAAACCACTCCCAAAATCTTGCCCCAAAAATCTGCAAGGACATGTCCAGGCCAGCACCAGAAATCAACACAGAGTTGAAGCCTCCCCTCCTCGCCCCAAAAAGCAATAGAACATATTTGCATAACCTTTAACAAATAGTTTGGACTATTTCAGCACCATTGTTGTGAAATCTGCAAAGGTTTTCTTGACAGCTAACACCGAGGAGAAGGCTTGGTTAAAGATAATATGACCTTAGCCAATGGCAGCTTTATTATTATTTCATTCTAATACCCTGTAAACATATAATCATGTCAAAGCAATTTAAATTTGAGATCTGATTCTAAATAGGTCCTTGCAACATCTACTGATCCTGAAATTCTGGTTGCTGATCTTTATCCCTTTCAATGTACTACTGGCACTTGGTAGAGAACAAAAGGTTGAATGGTGAGGATGGCAGGGTGAGATTTCCCCATAAAAAGCACCTCTCTGGAAGATGGAACTATCATGAATACTAGCTCAGCTGGGTGGAGCTGGGAACTTTATAAAATAATCTCAGAAGCTGTTGTTGGAGGTAACATTTGCTTCAGCCAGCCTTTTGTTCTGTGCCCAGAACCTTTGATTGTGAATCACTTATCCAGAGCAGCATTTTATAACTTTTATGATTTCATGGCACTCCACAACTGATTAGTCTTTCTTGCTTTTTGCATTTCTTGGACAAAACAAACAGAAGATATAAATAACGGATATAAATTATGCAAATGAATAATTACTATTAATAGCATTTTGCTTCATCATAGAGTTCCATTTTTAAATACTCTGTATTTCTATAAATTATCATAATAATGAGTTATTGAGTCTGTCATCTGCACTTCTATAATGTCTAGTTTGGTTCTGCAACCCAACAAGACAGACACAGACTTCAGAGGATAATTAGGAGTGCAGAAAAAACAATTACTACCAACCAGCTTTCCATTGAGACCCTGTATACTGCACCAGTCAAAAAGAGGGTTCTGAAAACATCACATGCCGGACATAAACTGTTTCAACTCCTACCCTCAAAACGACACTATAGAGCACTGCACACCAGAACAACTATACACAGTAATAGTTTTTTCCCTGAACAGCATCACTTTGCTAAACAAATAATTCCCTCAACACTGTCAAACTATTTACTAAGTCTGCATTACTATCACTATTAATCCTCCCATACTTCCTTTCACCCATCTTCTTCTACTTATGACTGTATGACTTTAACCTTGTTGCTTGTATCCTAATAATTTTTATTGACTGTTTCCTAGTATGATTTGATTGCTTATTGTACCCTATGACTATCATTAAGTCTTGTACCTTATGATTCTTGACTCTTGATGAATGTATCTTTTCTTTTATGTACACTGAGAGCATTTGCACCAAGACAAATTCCTTGTGTGTCCAATCACACATGGCCAATAAAGAATTCTATTCTATTCTATTCTATTCTATTCTATTCTATTCTATTCTATTCTATTCTATTCTATATTTCTTTATCATGGTACACTAAATTGGAATCTGGATTTTACTACTGCTTGTCTACTCATCTGCAAAATCTGATGTCTTGTATATAATTTGTTATTATTAAGGCAGGTTCATTAGCACTACAATGAACGAAATATTGGACAACTCAATTTACATTTTACTTCCATCTGTGCCATGACTGGAATTGTCAGGGCATTCTTTAGTGTGTTTATGTGCTTTAGCAGAGGATATAGAGCAGCCCAGCTGTGACGGCAGCTGGATCAGGGATTAAATCATGGAGCCTCACTTTCTTTTAGCCTAAGGAAAGATCACTACAATTGCACTCAAATATGAATCCAATCTAATGTCTTTTAATATATATATTAAAATTACTTGTATTTTATTTCCTTTAATGCACAAAATCATTATGCACTGCATTCCTATTAAAACTACTGTACCTGGAAACCTACAGATTTTGAGAATTTATCCATAGAGCCCAGGTAGCTGAAAAATGGACCCAGGTTATGTTGATTGAACATAAAAGATGTTGAACAGGTACATTTTTAAAAATTTAATAATAAGAATAAATTAGGACTGCAAGAAATAATTAAGCCCTGCTGGTAATGAAAAAAGAAAGTGACTTTTGGGATGAATAAAAATTTTATATGTATGTACTACCAAAACTCTTGTTTAACTGGGCAAAACAGTACATCATAAGGCAGCAATTTTTGAACCAAGGGTGGACTAACCTTGAATTTATCTAAAAATCCAGAACATTGTAAAATTCAGTTCTGAGCAAGTAGATATAAAATTCTGCTGGACATAATACTAAAAATGTGCTTTCAAGTGCCAGCTGTAGAACAGATGAGATAATTGTATCATACAAATGATCTTAATTTGAGTAAAGCAAAATTAATTAGTTAAAAATCATAAAATTGTTATCAAGGCTAAAACAGAGTTTCACTGCTGAGGAAGCATACATTTAATCTGGAAAGATTCCAAGTGGCTTTGCTAATTCCATGTAGCTTTCATTTCTACATTTGCACATGTGTGTATCCTTAGATTTATTTCTACATTTTAATTTCGGGATTACTTGATGCAGAATCAGTTATCAGTTTCTTTTCTCTTAATTCATTTCTTTCTGACAATTCTGTTACTTTTTGCTTTCTTTGCAGGTGTTTCTTATTAATATAGTTTATTATTTAAAGAATACGGAGAGGTTTAACGAATTTTCTGTGTAGGAGAAAATAACATATTTAGATAAAAATCAATTTTTGGCTTATGTCAAACATAAATTATCTTGGGGTCATCTCATATTGTCCTCCTGAGCCTGCTGTTTATTAGAAATTTTGGGTGAAGGACTCATCGTAAGAAAGGTTGATTTAATATAATCAGAAAAAAAATAACTGCAGTGTCACTTTTTAATTTACTTGGTTTTGTCAACTAATAAACAATAGCATAGAATATTTGAAGGAATGCTAAGTATGCTAAGTAAATATATTTGATTTCTTTTTAAAAAAGTAATACAGAATAGAGAAAAGGAAATTAGGAGCATAAAGAACTTAGAGAAATTCTACCGAATTGGATAAAAGTGCACATTTCTGTTTCCACGAAGTGTACTTCTGTTTCCACAGAAGTGTATCTGTGATCGTAATAAGTTTTAAGAACAGTGGAATAAGTGGAGGATTACCTACATTTAAAGCCCTTTTGCAAAATGGAGTTGTGATATGCAATATCATTTAAAATTTGTGTTGTATGAAATAGAACCAGGTTGTTTTTAACAGAATCCTAAATATTATTTTAAAGTATTTTCTTAAATTTTATTTATTTACTTATATCCTGCCTTTGTCATTTTTACGAATAACTCAAGGCAGTAATATATCCAACACACACCTTCATCCTATTTTTCCCCACAACCCTATGAGGTGAATTGGGCTGAGAGTGACTGGCCCAAGTCACCTAGCTGGCTTTCGTGGTTAAGGCAGGACTTTGGACTTACAGTCTCTTGCTTTCTAGACTAGCTTCTAGCCTGGTGTCTTAACCAAACTGTCTCTCAATCGTGATTAAATGAAGACAAAAAGAAGCCGGATTATAAACTCAACTAATAAATGTTGGATTATAAATTCAACTAATAAATGAATGTTGAATTGTTATCCCAAACTTAAAGCTTGCTTCTTGCCAGTTGCTGTCTAGTAATGAAAGTTTCTTTATCTTTAACAGCAATTCTCCACATGTACAAACCTGTTTTGTATGCATGGCCTCCAGCTCAAAGGCTGGAAGGAATTCTTACACTGGCAAAAAAAGGGGGGGAAATATAGGGTATGCACTAGAAAAACAGGAATATTTTACCATACATCTAGCATCAAGCATTCAGTAAAAAGTGTAGAAATATATCACATTGATACATAAAACAATGGCATATTTCTTTAATGATTGTCTTGTTTTGTTTTCTCATCAGGCTGACTTTGAGGCTGCTGCAGAAAAGGTTAAAAAATTAAAATCCAAGCCCACCGATGATGAATTAAAGGAATTGTATGGACTCTACAAACAGGCCACTGTAGGAGACATTAACATTGGTACTTAATAAACATCTAGGAAAAATTGAGTATGGGAGCACTTTTCAAGAACACCGGTTTAATGATTATATTTTCATCTTCCAACAGAATGCCCTGGGATGTTGGATTTGAAAGGCAGAGCCAAATGGGAGGCTTGGAATCTGAAGAAAGGTTAGTTTTACTGTAATTAATACGGGGAGGGTGGGGGGTGGGGTGGTTCCCCCGATAAAAAGTAAGACACCGCAGTAACTGCTAATTTTTCATTCCAGGTATATCAAAAGATGATGCTATGAAAACCTATATTTCTAAAGCAAATGAAATGATCCAGAAATATGGAATATAGAATTTCCTTAAATACTTCATCTTCAAGTAGCTCATGGTATTTTCAAAACTATGTTTTTAATGTTAATGTTCTGGCCTAAAACTTATTCTGTAACAATTTCATTTTACTCATTATGGCATTAATTGTTTACAATACATTTTGTATCTTAATACATAACTTGTTTCCACCAGAATTTTAGACTTATTCCAATGACAGTCTTGTGGTACTTTAAAGTCTCAAACATTTATAATAGCATAATCCTTTGTGTTCACTGTCTGCTGCTTTTGATGTTTGTGGAACATAATTTTGAAAGAATAGTACTATAATACACGGTGATTATTGCTGTTAAGAGCAGTATTTCATAAAGTGGCATATTAAATGGCAGGTGAAACTGACAATTACAGATTAATTCATTATTAACAAAAAAGATATTGGATGAAGCATAATTTTGCATTTATGAGGTTCTTATATGTCAGTATGATAAGAAATCTTGGTCTCAAGTTTGTTTTGCAAGAAATATTAAGTCTGTTAATGATAAGCTTAACGAATTCTAGCTGTGCCATTTCTGTCTTTATAATTACACTTCTAAAGGATAGCCATACTGAGAGCATGATAGTGTTGAAAAGTTTCTCCATTGCTCCTTTGTTGGGTCTTGTTTTTTCTTTTTGTTTCTAGAATAGCCAATTTGTTCATTATACATTATAGAAAAGTACAGGTAGTTCTTGACTTAAGGCCACAAATGAGCCCAAAATTTCTGTTGTAATTATTAAGCTATTAAAGTGAGTTTTGTCCGATTTTGCAGCCTTTGTCACAGTGTTAAGTGAAACCATTCAGTTAGATACGTGCTTGTTAATGGAATCTGGTTTCCCCATTGACTCTACTTGTGATCACATGACCCCAAGATACCGCAACTGTCACGAGTCAATTGCCAAGCACCTTAATTTTGATCACGTGACCATGGGGATGTTGCAAAAGTCATGTGAAAAATAATCATGTCACTTTTTTCAAGGCCATTGTAACTTTGAACAGTCATTAAATGAACTGTTGCAAGTCAAGGACTACCTATAACAACATGTTCCATATTAGATAAAATGGTGTATTATCACACTGAACTTGCACTGCCAGTGAATCTGGGCCTAGAATTGATTTCTGGATACTGTAATTATACTAGTTTCTGCTGGTTAACAGCTATTTATAGTTAAACCCAGTAATAATCATGGCCTGTGAAAGAAAAGTACCATTAACTGTCCGCATATCTTCTTACACGTGACATTAGTGAAGTCTAATGATTCAAAATTTCTACAAAATTTAATAAGAATGCTAGGTTAGAAATTGGATGTGAAGATAAATCCTGTGTGTTACGCTACATTGTGATCCAGCCAGACACAATCTGTTGTAAGGAGATTGTTCTCATCATTGATTCTCATTAGCTATCACTATTGTGTAATGCTTACAATTATAACATTTCTGGTTCATGTACTTCGTTCCATCCTGTTCAATCTACCAGAGAATGATAAACAATTTGCCTTTTCTAAAATGTTTGCATATTATACTATAGTATACTATATTATACTTGCCATGTATACTAGTATATATATTATACTATATCTTTTAAATGTGTGCCTGCAAAGTGAGGAATTTACAGGAGGGTACAATCTGGGTCATCAACTGATTATTAAGCAGTTGTTTAGTGAATTCAAGATTAAAAATTAAAACAACAGTCTGTCTAGTAGACTAAAGATTAGGATTTACATACTTACCACCTGCATCTTCTAAAGTTTTTTCAACACACTATTGTGCATAGATGATTGTCTCCCACAGAATCAGCTAGATGATGTCTTAGAATTACACAAATATCTGAACACCTTTTCATCATCTCAAAAACAGATGCAATAAATAAAAAAAATCTGTGTGTGTGTGTGTGTGTTCATATTCCATTAACTTGATTTCCCTTCTGCCACATGGCAAAATCATGATTTTTGTTAGATTCCTGTCTTCAGGAATTAAAATGCATAGCAGTTCTTTTTTTCCCCTTCCTGTGAGGACAAGTCAAGTGACACTATCAACTCTGTAATAAGAATCCTGGATTTTTATAATTTCTGCCTTAATCCTATGAATGTTTATCTAACTTTGTAAGTGAGGAAGAATTCTTAGAAATGAAAATCCAATATAACTGAAGGCATACAAACTTTGCCTTAGCATGGTGTGATAGTGGTGAGTTCAGAGTGAGATAACCCAGGATCTGGTCCTCCCTGAGGCATGGAAACCAGCTGGGCCTTTCACCTTTCTTACCAACTGGCACTTGCAACAATCCAAATATGTACTAGTATGTATTAATATGTACTAGTAAACTGTAATAACAGAGTGCAAAAATAAACAGACATGCAACCAAAATGGGCATGTACTAAGGAAAGCAGCATAACTTGGCCCCCTTTTAACAGCTTATACCAAATCATAATTAATCCCTTCACAGGGAAAGAAGAAAAGGGAGCTCCACATCAGCTGAAAAGTTCTGCAGCTGGAATCCAGTAGGCAGGCTAATATGTAACATTAAGAATTGCCAAACTTGTAGGAGTCAGTTAAATTAACTTAGGTGATATTATACTAATCTCATTCAGTTTGTAATCAACTGAGTTTTAAGGTATACTCCTTTATTCTTTCAAAAAATTTTGAATGCTTGTTAACTGTTTTGCGTGGCAGAATAATTAAGATTACATCCTGCCCTCCCACCATAATGGAACAATGTAAGTAAGCATAGATGAATAATATACATATTGTTGCTCTTTGGAATGGCTTTATTTCAAGAATATATTGCATTATTCATAGTTTCTCATTTATGATACAAAGAATGCATGTTGTCCTGAGAATCATACTGAGTTGCACGTTTGAAATGGCAAGAAAATACAGTATCTTTGATTATCATCTCTTCCAGTTTATAGAAGCGTTTAAACAACCCCATCAAATAAAAAAAAGAACAACCTCAGGTTACCTGAAATAAATTCACAAGCATTCTAATACATTTTCCTTGATTACATTTGAAGGCAAGAAAAAGCCATGATATGCATTTCATATAGAAAGAAAACATGATTACTGCAATGGTTGCTCAAAATACAACTTTCCATTGTAGTAAATGAAAGCAAGTGTCCCCCATGTACTTCTGAAAACATTAACTTAGAACATTGAATTCATTTGAATATGATTTTGCATTCTTTATTGCTAGTAAGATTACATAATTAACTTTTTTCTATTGAAAAATTCAATAAACCTTGCATTTTAGAAGTTTAGTTTATCATTGCATAGTTCTAATCTTATTTTGCATTGCAATTGCAGATTATTCCAAGAAAATTGCATTGTTATTGCAGTAGAATTTTGCATGATTTATACCTAGCTTATATGTAACTGTCAAATATCATATCCACTTCAATCATTCCTTTTAAGTAAGGCTTTCATATTCAAAATTTCAATATTTATGGTTCTACAAAAAAAGGCACTGGAGCTCCAATATTTTTTCTACATCTGGGATGTGGATATTATTTTTATTATGTCTTGAAAAGACTGGAACAATTCCTTACATAAATTTTCGGCATCTGTGTCTGGACATGACTTCCAGGCACTGCAGGCAACAACAATCCTACCAGAGAAAAGATGGAACATTATACTAATATCATTCAATATTATATTAATCTCATTCAGTTTGTAATCAACTGAGTTTTAAGGTATACTCCTCTATTCTTTCAAAAACTTTTGAATGCTTGTTAATATTTAGATACATGCCATTTTTAAAAAATCAGCACAGAATTTCAGTTGGGTATATGTAGTGTCTTGGGCAGCTAAGTAATCGTAATGTTACAAGATACAATTACTGCATACCCTAATCATGGGCAGGTGGATTTATGCTATAAAATAGGAATGAAAGAATCTCTTCAAGATGTATTTCACGTTGAACTTCAACAATATGAAAAAATAACTACCTTCAAATTAGAGAAAATTTTAAAATGTTGTAAAACAAAGTTCTTTGTCTTATTACTAGTATTTTTCAGAATGTTTGGTTATGATATACCCCTAAAACATTACTCAGCATATTATTCCTAATACGAGCAGCAGAAATAAAGAAAAAGGCAAGAAATTAGCACTATGGAATGTATAAACCTGGTTAGGAAGCTGAATTTTTGAAGTAAAATATGGGTCTACATAAATTGTGATTTATGGAGTTAACCCTACTCTCTGGATTCACAATATCCTAATAAACCAGTGTACTAATCGCCCTATTACATTAATACAACAGAAAATCACCAGTTTAGGTTAGTTATATGAAGGCACAAATACAGTAGATCACAGAATTGATAAGATATTTTAGGAGAAAGAATAATCATATTTAAAACTATGTAGAAGAAAGTTAAGAGTGCCTAAAAAGCCAAATGTGAAGTCAAGTTTTAATTACTGAAATAATATGCAGTGGTCACTCCCACACTGACACACAAAACAGGTTTCAATTTTTTTACTTGGAATAATGTTAATGGTATTCTTACCTGTCATCTCTAATTCTGTAGAAAAAGCCATAACCATGCTTTACCATTGGAACAGTGGCTCCTGCAATTCTTGTGTACCCTACCAGGCTAGTTGAAAGAACAAAATTTCCACCTCCCCCACTGCAAATTAAAAGAACAAAACAAGAAGACATGTAAAAAATAAGATCTGCTTTCTCTGCTAACATTAAGCAACTTCACTGGAATAAATGAACAGGATTCAATGCTCAAACTGGTATTATGATGACTTCTGGCAGACTCTTGTTAATGGAAAAAGTGAATTACTTATTCCACAACAATAATTTAAAAGAAGTACATTTTCTTAATCACTGGAAGCTGCTGGACCTATAAACTTTTGTCCCATCACTAAACAGTTATCTATATCTTTTCAACTCCAATATGGGTTGTCCCTGTTCAGTGATTACATCATTTAGCAACTGTTCACAATGGTGATGAAAAAATAGCTTTACGCCAATCCCACCTTTTACAACTTTTGTCTATAAAGCGAGGAAAACTGAAGATCATAAGCACAGCCGCTGTTTAGAAAGTGCTTCATTCAATGACAGTTATTTGTATTAATTGTGGTTGCTAATTGAGGACTACCTGTAAAACCTTACGTTCAGTTGGTATAGAATGATTTAATTCCAAAGATAAATTTAATATTTTTCAGTACCTTCTGGTGAAAGCAGGATCTAAGAAGAGTTCAGGCATTGGAAGGCTGTGCTCTCTGGCCAGGAGTTGGAGGCCTAAGAGATGACGATCAAAACCTGTTTGAGAAATATAAGTTAACTGAAAAAATGCTCAATGACTTGCACAGAGTTTATTCCATTCAGCCTGTTGAACTTCTGAGGGTAGTGGAATGGATGGTTTGAGAATTGTGCTGGAGGAAAAGTGATGCCGGTTGGGGGCTTATTGTGTACAATAGAGCAATGACTCTACTCAGCACTCTTATAATTAAAACTGGAGAGGTATGAAAACAAACCACAGCTTATGAAGAAAAGGTATTAATGCCAGGATGCACAACTAGTAGATCAAGGTTTACCCATGGCCATACTTTTAAAGGAGGAGGTTGGTTCGGAAAAAAACCATATTTGTCATTTAATAATTAAAACTAAACAATAGTATTACTCTCAACAGGTAAATTTTAAAAAAAACTCTCTCCTATTACATGAAAGATTATTTTGATATTTTGAGACTGTATCTCTTTGCTTCTGCACGATTAAAAAAATGTACCTCTTCCATTCTCACACTCTTTCATCAGTTTATTATGTCTTGCAAATGCTTTTAACATTAGGTGTTTTCTTTGGCCTTGCTGCAGAACATAAGAAAAACATAATTATTCCACCCAAACTGCTTATATCTAAACATTTCAGAAAATAGCAAAAGACAACAGGAAAAGGAAAAAGAGCCAAGATGCATCAGCTGCCATTTGGTTCCTTCTATGCTTCAATTATTATCTATCAGCCTCTCTTCCATCTGTTTGCCACAGAAGATAAGAAGGAGAGTGATAGCGTTCAGTTGAATAACCACCACCTGCTACTAGGCCTTTCTTACTAGGAGTTGAACCCCAATCAGATTAGAGAAAGCTGCTCTTGAAATGTGAAGGATGATCCAGAAGTATAATGTGATCATGTCCCAAATATGTATCTAAAATTGTGTTCTACATATCCAGAAACCATGAAAGGGGAAGCTACTTTTTGCCAAGTATAATTTGCATATTCTGTACTTGCACAATCAACATGAATCAAGAAATTTAATACAAACATGATTTCTGAGTAAAAAAAAATCTAACAAAAATATCATGGTAAAATATAACTGCTTTTAAAGAGGAATTAAAATATCCATGAGGATGAGATTATTTCTTATTTCAAAAGGAACATACTGCAAGTTTTATTTCATACTGAACAGTTCAGTATTTGAACTTTTTCCCATGCTGACAGCTATGAATTCAGTTTATGAAATGATGTATCATTATCAAGGAAAGATGGCATTTATCTCCACTAAATTTTGACCTATTGAATATACGAGTAAAAAATTTGGGGGGTTCTATAAGTGTTAGTACTGAACACAAAAAAGGTCACAATCTCTTTGACTAGAATACTCACAGTGACTGTAGGGTCTAGCATGGATTTACACCATTCAATTACTTCAGTGGTGCATGGTCTCATAGTTTCTGTCCGGCCATGATAAAATTGTCTGGTTGCTGCAGTTTCATAACAGCAACCAGGGCTAGAAAACAAATAGTAGATTTATCCCTCAACTGTTTTAACTGCTCATAGAATAGATATGTAAAAGCCCTATTGTCTGTGGATATAGCAAATTACTTTTACCAAAAAGTATTTGAAACAAAGTAACTTCACTCCAGTTTTTGAACCTTACATAATAAAATGATAATTTACTTCATCTGGCCTTCACAAGATATCTTATTATTAAATTGTTTTTAAGCAGAGAAAATTGATGATATAATAAAATACAAAGTATTAGATGAATAGATAGAAACATGAAGAATAGTGCATTTAGGAAGAGCAAAAAGATAGGAAATGAACAAATTAGATTTTTGGATTAAGTCTGTAAAATAATATACAAATAAAGAAGAAAGGAAGAAACATAAAGCATTTGATCATTCTAAGGAATATGTAAAGTGTGCAAACATGAGAAAATAATTTCCATCTATTTGTAAACTTGCACAAAGGCTATATAAATTATTCTTCATATCTATTTAATGCTATTAAATGTTTTAATACATGTTTAAAAATTATTCTTACTGTCCATGACATCTGTAATAGGTTAATTGGAGAGCAATCTGGACAAATGTATCAGGATGAAGATGGTGTTTCTTAATCAGTACTTTCCCAAAAGTTGTAAAAGCATAATTCACAAGCTCTAAGTCAGACATCTGAGAAGGGAAAATAATGAAATTTCAGAGAACCAATGGAGGGAAATTTTATATTTTGAATTACACAAAACTTATAATATCTAGCAAAGATTCAAGAATCAAGACTTTAGAAACTCTGAGTGATGCTTATTGCCATACTATTGATAGAATCCTCTGGCTTATAGCAATGCAAACTGGTATTCCTAAATCATGCTTATCACCTGGACACTGGGGAAAAAGCATAGATCTGCCTCCGTGTCTTACATTTGAAGAACTGATACGAAATGTTTCAGGATGGATCTGGGCTGCAGTGCAAGCAGACGGCAAACCAAATTAACAAGTCACCAGCTGTGCATAAAAAAAGAGTTCTCTTTTGCTTCATCCTCATTCGCGTCATATAATGGAAACAAAAAGAACGCACTAACACCAAGCACAAATATATGACTTTCAAAAATGTACATGCATACCTGCTTGTAATATTTCTCCTTTGCACAAGTGATATCATTTAGCACCTTCTGATCAAAATTAAACGCAAGCTCCTCAGGCCAAGGGATATTGCGTACTTTGTCCGATCCCTGTTTTGTATGAAATAAAAAGAGAACCATTTAATTTATCTGACACAAGAAGGAAGTTTTATCAACTGGAAAGGAATGGAACTACAGTTAACAGCATACCTTCCATTTCCCTTCTGTTTCAAAAATCTTGGAATCAACATAAGAACAGAGGCTCACTAAAACCATGGCGTCAAAAGGAGCATGCTGGAAGATATGTATAAAATAAACATTACTCCATGGAGCAATAAATATTTGAATCATCACATTTTATTTTATTTTTCTATTACAACCATAAATAATTTACTGCTGGTCAAGCTGAGTGGGGCTGTTAGAAATTGTAATCCAGCAGCATGTCACATGTCTCCTGTTTTCAATGATCTTTTTTAGAAGGGTTGCTCATAATTTTGTTATGTCAATATTTCTTTTCTAGTAATTAAAGTGTAGCACAGTAACAGAATGAACAAATTATTTTTAAGTTGCTATTTATAAATACATTTATTGCTACATTAAAACAAGCAGAAATTTCTTAAGATTGCTGGTTGTAATGTTTTTATATAATAAAACAAAAGAGAGAGAAACACAAAAGGTACAAACTCACATCACAGTTTGATGCACAACTACCATTTGAGAAGGCAATGAAGTTATAGGATTTGTCTCCCCACCGCAATGTTGGGTTCCCCGTGAGTGCCAATCTGGTGATCTAATTCAAGAATTAGCATTATTAGTTCTGAAAGAAAAAACTGTCACATTTTCCCCGCAAAGACAGAAAATCCTCACAGCGATATCCTACTTCTCATGTCTTCTGGCATCATTGCAGGGTGAAGTGTGAGAGCAAGATCTCCACCTACCATTAGGTTCCTCACCTCCAATACTACCTTCTACAGCCATGATGGCGAACCTATAGCACGTGTGCCACAGGTGGCACGCAGAGCCATTTGTGCAGGCATGCGAGCCGGAGGCAAACTTACCTCACTGTGCATGCGTGCCTCACAGCTGATTTTCAGCTGGTCTGAGGCCTTTTCAGCCTCCCAGAGACTTGAAAAAGCCTCTGCAGGCTGTGCAGGAGAATAATAAGCCCGTTTTGTCACTTCCTTACAGATGCAAGCCTGACATAAAACTGCAATCTTATACATCTTTAAAAGGGAAGGAATCAATAGATGTCAGTAGATTTTGAACAGATGTCAAGCTGTCCATTGCCGCTTGGATTTCTGGAATGACATGCATTGTTAGTTTAGTAACAAGATATTCATAACCCATCAAAATAATTTTCCAGGTGGACTTAGTTCCTTGGAATAGTTTCTTGGTGTACCCAGAAACTATGTTTTCCCTATATGTTTTCCCATATAACCATCAGGGAGATAGCACTCAAATTACTTTGGCTAACATGAAAAGCCAAAGTAGGGTTGGAACTGATTATTAGATGGGAGGCCACTGGGGAATACCAGGCTATAGGCAAGACTGGGAAGTAAAAATATCTTATAGAAGCTGACTGAGATTCCTTAGTAATCCTTGGCTTATGATTACAATTGAGACCAGAATCTCAGCTGTTGAGCAAAGTGAGACATCACAGGACACTTTCCCCAATGACTACACTCAAGTTGTGGTTGTTAAGCAATCTTGTGTGTCATTGAGTAGATGGAATCTGAGGTAAGGATTGTAGGAGGGAGTACAATGCAGATGGAAGGAGATGCTGTTACAGAGCCCCTCACCATAGGACACCTATCACAGCCCAGGAGGCCTCGGCCAGCTACAAGGCCTACTGGTGCGCAGAAACTGCTGCAGATTGGGAAGCCTGGGGCCTTTTCCCCCACCAGGCTCAGAAGGCCGCAACTGGTAACAGAGCTGACCAGCAAATGCAAACTGACCCACTTACTTTGCAGTTTTTCTGCAGTTTCCGCTAGGTGTGCCCACGCTATGCAAAGCATGAACTTCCTACCAAGACTGCCTCAAGCCATTCAGCAAGAAGGCACCATTTTCATAGTTCAGAAGGCTCTTTCAAGTAGGTGTTGAGTCCTATAACTAGCCAAGGCCTCCTGGGCATGAAGGGGTGGAAAGTAAGCTTGGCCTGTACTTAGCTGAGCCTCCCAGGCTGTAGCATGTTTCCACGCACTAATGGGCCCTGTAGCAAGCCACTCAAGACTTCCAAATAATTTAAAAACTGGTGCCTCATTGCAGAATAGCATAAGGCAGCATTGGTAGAAAGGCCAAGCCTTGCATAGGATGGCACACCTGTTCAGCAGGTGCAAAAAACTGCAAAGATAAATGGGCCAATTTGGGTGTATCAGCGGCCTTGTAATTGACCAAAGCTTCCTGAACCTGGTGGTATGAAGAGCAGGCCCGCACCTCTTGGATATGATAGGTTGGGAAGTAAGTTGGGGCTCTCCAGATGTGGTGGTATGGAAACGGGCCCAAGCCTCTTGACAGAAGGCAGGCCTGACAGGCTGGGAACAGGCCAAGGTCTCCAAGGCCATGGCCATTTTGCATGTGCTGGTAGGCGGGGGCCGGCAGGGGAGGGGCAGCTGAGATGGTGAAGAGATTGCTGGAGGGAACTAAGTCATCCCTGCAGTTTTAAGTGCAGGCAGATTGAGTGCATGCCTGAATTTTCATCAAGTGACTGCAGTGAAGCTGTAATGCTCATATAACCTATATAAATCTTCAAGTCCCTTTGTCCAGGACTGCTGTGATTTTGAACAGTTGCTGAATGAACAGTTAAGGAAGGACTTCCTGTAACTACTTTTATGCTGTTGCCAAGAAAATGACATAACCATAGCCATACATAAGAAGCCAAGCTCCATTTAAAGAGGCTTTTGTTTTGTGTCATATTTAATGTACGCGTAAGATAAAGTAGTATACTTTGTCTTGAAAAGTATAAATTGGACCACGGAAGTGCTATTTGATCTCAGCAAATTACAATTTAAAAAATGACAATTTATTCTCTAATAATTGATCAATGATTTTTCTCTCCTGTCACTTTTAACTACTTATAGAAACTTTACACTACATAGTAGCAGAACTGTGTTGTGCTTTAGATTTGATTTCTAAAATCTACACAGCCTTAATAACCATTGTAAAAAATAAGGACTCAAAAAAAAAAAAGAAAGAAAACAAAGTAAAATCACTTCTTCTCAATTGCAATCCAATGTATATGTAATTGGGGGAAGTATTTCTGAACATGTTTACTATTGACTAAACAACATATAATTAAACCACCTTATCTCGTGTTTATCTTGCCTATTTGTAAATCAGAAACAAGTGTTAATTAGAGTTTAACAGCGACCTGGGGAGGAATGTTGCTATGCGTTCATTGGAGTTGCATAATTCCCACATTCTGTCCATGACACACTATAATTTACATTTTGAATAAACCAGATACATGATGTAGTTAACGTATGCCATTTGATCACTCCAAATCCTTTTCCTTTATAATATAACAAGGCAAATTATGGTCGGTACCTCTGTATAATCTTCAGGGGTAGCTTGAGGCTTTGAATCATCTAGACATATTACAAATAAACTACGCTGTATTGTTTCCAACAGAGACAGATTCTTTGGATGGAGTCTGATAAGATAATCACGTGTCTATAAGAGGGAAACAAAACAATTATTAAAAATAAAGCATATCAATCTGCACCAAATGTTTCTTTTAAAAAAAGTCCAAACCTTTGCCCACGAGTTTCTTTCTTCAGATGTTAAGGCGGCCAATCCTGGCCCTTCAAGTTCATTCTCACATTTCTTCTTAATGTAGGAAAGTTGTCTACAAATAATATAAATACCAAGTAAAAAATACTTAGCATTTCCAATGCAAACTATCATGTAAGACAATGCAAACTATCATTTTTATTTTTTATTTTTTTGTTAAGCCAGCATTTGAGGTAATGAAGACTGAAAATAAATAAAATTTCCAGGTCCTTATTTATTAAACTAAACATTCATCTCTTCTGAAGTTATTTATCAAATATTAGAAGTATTAGTGTCCTTTATTAGCTATAGTGATCTTCTTTGATATTCTATGCAGAGAACACTCAGATTATAAAAATAAAAAAAAAGTTGGAGGTGTGCATATATACTATACATGAAAGAATGAGGGGGAAAAAAGCTTATTAACTGCAACACAATTTCTCCAAGTAGATCCCTATTTTTCTTCATTCTTCCTTAACAGACTGACAGTAATTATACTCTTGGACAATTTGAAAGGGTGGGGAAACAAGCACTTGCTGTGTGGGAGGTGCAAGTCCAGTCACCAATAAACTGAATTTAAAATGGTGTTTCAGCAAACAGTACAGCATTCTCTCTCCCATTCATTTCCATATTTAGGGTTTCAATTCAATAAATATGTTTAACAATCACAAAATAGTATCTTGATTTTAAGATGTGTCCTTGTTTAATGAAGCATAGAATTATTTTAGGAAGTTGGGAATTGTAAGTATTACATTCCTTTCATTCAATTGGGATTCTCAGCTGACTTATCATTTTCCCCTCATATGTTGAGTGGGAGGCAATAATAGGAAAAACACTCCAGAAATTAAGGACACATAAAATTATTAAAAACAGTATAACTGACATTTAATTGAAATTAATAAAACAAAGCTATAAAATGCTGTAAATTAGATCAGAAAGCACTGAATTACAGTAATGTAGCAACAATATATTTGCCACAAAATGAGTAAAAATACATAAAAACTATACTTAAGTATAAATGGAAATAATCTTAAATATTAATTCAAAACTGAATACACAGCATCTTTTATACAGAAGCCCTTAAATTCCATCAATCTTCATTGACTACTTCTTTCTGTAGAGCATATTTGGAATATCAGTATAAATATATTTAATGTCAAATTTGTATAGAAATATCTATAGTCTAGCAGGTTGTTTTTAGAATGATTTCTAAACATACCTAAAAAGCTCTGGTGGGCTCAGAATATGACCATCATTTAAACTATCGAATTCAAAAATTCTGCCTTCACACAACACTATCAAGTGAGATGGACATTCACCTTCATTCTCTGGAAGAAAAAGTTTAATTCATTAACAGAAAAATTTGTATAATCTTCATAAAATGCTTCCTAGGAAGATGGGACATGCACAATAACCTTTTTCTCTTATTAGCTAAGTAGGCCAGGATATTGGAGACTTATATCTCAAATGAGCTGTATCTTCATTGTTTAGCAGGATGGTAATTATCTGCACACATATGAAACACTGTTACAGGTAGTCCTCAACTTAAGACTGATTGTATAATGGGACAGATGTTTTACAGTCCATAAAGCATTTCTGATTGTCATGAAATTTGGCACACACAGTTCATGACTGCACGACAGCATTTCAGGTGCTTGGCAACTGGTTCACCTTTACAGCGTCCACTGTCACATAGCTGCAACTTGCAGCAATTTTTTCTGGTTTCCAGCAAAAATAGCCATTCGGAAGAATGAGTTTGCACTTATAATTGCAGTATACCCAACAACCATGGACTTGCTTAATTATCATGGTGATTCACTTCATGTCCATGCAAAAAAAAGTAACATAAATCAGGTCGGGAATGACTTGACCTACAACTGTTAACAATGTATGGCCAGAAATCCAGACCCAATTGCAGTATTAAATTGAGGACTGGATCGCAGAAAAAATGTACTTGTTTTTCAACTGCTAACAGCAGAACTAAAAGAGATTCTGAACAGGTACAGTGGGGAAGAAGCTTTAGCCATTGTTCTCCCCATATAATTTCATGTTTAACTACATGTTTTTCACTCCACGAAAAAGGGTCTTTTAAAACCATGTGCACTAAGCTGGGGTAAACAGATGTAGCATATAATGTCTCCATCTGCACGTGTGCATATATGTGCGTGCATGTGTCTATATTTGTAACGACAGACACACTAATCAGAGAAGCAAACAGAGTAAATAGGCTCTAAACACAGAACACAGTGCTCTGATAAGAAGTTCAAAATTCTGATTCGGTTGTGTGCAAACACAACTATTATTGAATACAAGTACAAATTGCAATAACAGTTAGACTTACATACCACTTCCTAGTGCTTTACAGCCATCTCTAAGTGGTTTACAGAGTCAGCATATTGCTCTCAACAATCTGGGTCAAATGAAAGGGCAGTTGAAAATTTGGGGTGCTATAAAATTACTTTTATAATTAGAAGCCAGGACTGGAGTTCAAATAAACTTGTTTTGAACAAAACGCAGAAGCATCATTATACAATTCAATGCTTTATATGCCAATTTAAAAACTAAATCTCACTGTATTCAATTAAACAGACATAGCATGGTTAGGGATTAATCATCTTCAAGTTTTGGTTTTGCTGGGCAAGGATAAGTAACATTATTTACTACATTTATATACCATTTTTAGTACAGATTCCCTAAATGGTTTACAATTATTAGAATTACAGCAGGCTATATAAATGACGTACACAGTAGCTGATGGCTTGGTTCATATTTTGTACACTTCTGTATAAATTGAGAAACAAAACTAACTTAATGTAATTCAAGATTTGACTGATAATAAAAATATCAGCATGTATACAAACAGGGCTTTTTCATCAGAAAACCTACATCTTCCCACCCCCCAGCTAAGTTCTTTTGCTTTTAATGAATGTTCCTTTCTGAATCTAAGAATTGTACATCGAGGTCCCCTATTCCCGGGCCATGGCCCATTTGGAACTATGTGGTGCAAGTGGCGGGTGAGTACACAAGCGCAGCTCCACTTGACTGAGTGGCAGGCTCTCACAGCTCCATTTGTGCAAGCAGTGGGCGTATATATGGCACTGCTTGCACAAATGGAGCTGAGCAGTCTTACACACACACCTGCCATTCATACAGAACCACCCCCTCCTCCCCAAGCCAGAAAGTTAGGGGTCACTATTGAACACAATTACTATGTAACACGTTTAGGAGATCCATGAAGGTTTACAAAAGGGGCAAACCAGCTGACTATTGTTTTTTTCACTGATGCCCAATTTCCACATCAACAGTACCGCAATATATATGCAACATCTTACAGTAATTAAGTTAAAGCAAACCAATTTTTTTGCAAGCAACACAAAGGAGCGTATTTATAAAGATGACTGCCTAAAAAACTCTCTTCTCTTAACCTGCAAACCAATATTTATAATAATTACACAATGTAGTTTTGTGTAATGTAATTATATTGTACAACATCAATGTAAGTAAAGGATTATGAATACAGGATCATTGTACAAGTGATCTCTATTAATTTTCTGTGGCATATTTCTCATAGATCACAAAATGACAGAGCTGAATTCAGATTTATGAACTGTAGATGAAACACCGGGAGTGGTTTAGAACATGCTGTGTTAAGAATATTAACACATACAGCAATGTAGTATACATAACACAAAAACAAAAAAAATCATGTTAATGCTCTGAAAAATTTCAGCAGATATAAAAATAACACCCTTTGTTTATAACTTAGAAGGATGAGTCTCAAAGCAAAGCTCTAAGACAAGGGTCTTCAAACTTGACAGCTTTAAGACTTGTGGACTTCAACTCCCAGAATTCCTCCTCCAGTCATCTTACCTCAGGAATTCTGGAAGTTGAAGTCCACAAGTCTTAAATTTGCCAAGTTTGAAGACCCTTGCTCTAAGAAGTACTGGGCCAGTGCAGCTGAAATTCTAACTATTGGAGGGGGGGAGATATCAGATATCTTTCTCAGTAATTATCCACATCTTCCTAATGGCAGATGCCTTGTTAACAATTTTAGGAATTATCCATGTAATTATGTCTTTTATCCATATCCCATAACTTAAGCTGCCTAACTTTGTATTTAGTTGTCCTGATATAAAGTGGTATTCCCATCTTATTCCAATAAAAACTTTACTGCACATGTGAATTATATCCAGCTCCTATTGGCTGCAGCACACATACAGTAGTATCTGCCCTTCAGTCACTCAGCAGTGTCCTCCATTGCTATTTTGCTTTGTTATGTTGAACTAACATGGTACCTGGCTTCTTCACAGAACTGCCTGTATAACAACTGACTGGCACTTTCAGAAGTGCAAGTCAGATTTTATATGGGCTCCTTATTAATACATGATTATAGCATTAGACCTCTTTGAAAATGTATGACCAGAGGCTTCTGGGGAAAAATAGCAAACTGTTTGTGGAGCCAACAACCACAGCAGAATGAAGAGCCAGCATGCAGACTGGCTCTAAGTAATTCCCCATTACATATGGCAAGGCCTTGAGACCATCCTGAAGTCTCTAGACAGCGCTCCTTGTGAGATCACAAGACAGCAGAAGTCTCTGGTGAGTTTAAAGCTCTATGAGAAAATAATCTATTCTGCTCAAACCCTGGTCAGCACCTTTAATAAACTTGGTTTGCATACTCCCTTTTCTAATAATTTTTGGAAATTTCTTGTTGACTACTTTTATGTTAAACTTTTGGATTAACACACTTTTTGCACCAGATGAATTTCCTTCAATCCTTAGTGAGAGAGGTTCCAAATACACCTTTAAGGACTTAAAGAATTAAATAAAATTAAGACTAAATTTCTGCACAGCTTAATTTCACCAAGACGATAATATTTTTAGCAGTATAGTTTATCCACTGCTTCTACCGACAAGGGGACTTGCTTTTATATTGTTTTTAATTTGTTGGAGGGCCACATTATTATTCTTACAGGCTCATTGTTCACTCACTGCCTGAACTTCTTCACCACAGTGCATCTAACACTGTGCCATGGTGCTGGTGATTATACATAGGGCAAGTTGCAGTCATGTCCGTCCACAATTTTGGGAGCGAATATCTAAGGCATGAAATGAAGAGTGGATATTAGCAACTGCCACTTGTTAAAAGATCTAGGCGCTCACCACTCTACTGAACAGTAATCACTGTGGGAATGGAACGGCAAGATTGTTAAAAAGACTGCCAGCAAGATCATCATTTAAAATGCTCTCCATAGCACCTTGAATGAGACAGAGCAAATTAAGCCAACACACTTTTGGGCCACATTACAAATTAGAGTAAAATGTGTAAAAGCAACTTGCCTAGTGACCCACAAATATTATTACCTTGCTATGCATTTTTATTGAAGGAAAGAATGAAAAAAATCTTCAGCCCTTTTAATATTTTTCACAACAGCTATCTTAAGGAATCAGACTGTTTGTTTCCAGGTATTCATACTACATACTAAATCTTGGCCCAAACTATATTGTCTGTACTGTAACGAGAGCATTTCCAATAAACCCCTATTTTATATTTGTTTACAATGCCTACTGTAAAGCATTATGGAGTGATATATAAGTCTAAATGCTAAAGGTGTCTAAGCTCTACTAGGTTTTACTTCCAGGAATGTGATTCAGACTGCCAACTAAATATACCTGTTGACTATATATATATATATATGGGATAAACATTATATACACTACATTGAAACCACTTTTTTTTATACAGAAAAAAATCATTTACCTGTTTTGAAATAATTCACAATGGAATCTTGAACAATGCCTGGTATCTTGCAAGTGCAAAAAAGCATTCGAAACTGATCCATGTCCAGGGGTTTATTGCCAGATCTATGTACAGCCAATTTTTCTCTGTAAGATAATTAATATGTAAGTTATTGAAGCTAAATGGATAAGCATACATTTACAACCAGGATCTAAGCAACTGCTATATTTCAATATGTTTCAATATTATATATTCAAAAAGCCTATGTCTTTCCATATAACGTGACATAGACAAGGCACTCATCATTAAGCTTCTTGGAAGAGAAGCGAAACATCTTCAAAGAAAAAACAAAGTTCATTTGCCTCTTTAAAAAACACCTTTAGGACAACTATAACCTAGATGACTGATAATCTCCACAGACCAGGGGTGGGATTCAAAATTTTTAACAACCGGTTCTATGGGCATGGCTTAGGTGGTAGGTGTGGCTTGATCATCATGTGACTGGGTGGACATGGCTTGGTGGTCATGTTATTGGCTGGGTGTGGCCAACTCAATATTGCTCACATTGAGGCACGCATCTCCTTGCCTGGCCTCTCATGACTGTGGGGGTGCTGCAACAGTTGTAAGTGTGAAAAATGGTCATAAGTCACTTTTTCAGTGCCACTGTAACTTTGAACAGTCACTCCACACAAGCAAAGTACCAGCAAAGGAGAGGAAAAAAAACTCCAGAGATGTTACTGAGACAGGAAGTCTAGTCCTGCCAAGAATTTAATAAGGGTTAATGGAGAGGCAGTTTCTGTAAGCAACACCAGAATGTTTCCTTCCTGACAGGATTAGGCCAGTAATTTCTTCTAACAACCAGATCTCCGAACTGCTTGGAATAGAATGCTAACAACCGGTTCTAGACAATAGGTGCGAACTGGTAGAATTCCACCCCTGCCATAGACACTCAAGTCACAACTACTTATTCTTTTAAAAATACTACAGAAATGCTCACTATACTCTCAGGCTATTATGCTTAATTAAAAGCAGTGGCACTTATTTCAGAAACTTTAATTTCAAAGATGACAGTTTTTTTCCCTATTAGAGTTCCAATGGTTTAATTTTATAGATGTTTAAAATAAATGTGAATTTTTGGAGACCTGCACCAATTAACCAGATATAAAATTCTACTCCAAACTTATGATAGCAATATTAACTCACAATAACATGACAAATAATCGTACGTAACTATTGTGATTTTGTATTTCTTACTTTCTTAATTGTTCCCAGAATTTCAAGGTGTACCAAACATTTATGCCTGTTCTTTCTAGCTGAGTCCCTTCTTTAATTGGCCAATAATGTTCAATATAGGGGCCTGGTCCTCCAAAATTGTGATAGATTTGTGTTGGTAAACGGGTTTCAAGATAGCCCACATTCAGCCACCATTCTTCCAACTGAAAAGAAAAAGCAATTAACAGCAAAAGAAATCCTTAATTTGGTTATTTGTTAAGTTCAGGTTCTATCCCACAGTTGACATTAAAAGCACAGCAGAAAGCATTTGGTACAACAAAATGTTATATGATGTTCAAACAGCGACCATCCTACACTTCAGAACAGATATGAAATCAAGCAAAACTTAAAATAAGTTCAGATCTGTTCAAAGGAAAATATTTCTAGTGAGACTTGCTATTTGTAAAAGCAAAGTTTGCTATTGAATTAAATTCTGCTAATGTGTTTTTTCCTCTCTGACATTCACTATCATAAGGACTAGAACCGAGACAGGACTCTATTCAGACAAGGCTTGCTGAAATACTACAGTAACTGCAGTGGCTAGATTATAATAAATAAAGCCTGGCTTACATATGTCAATTGCAAGTTCACAAACATGTTAAGTCAAACCAACAAGCCCACATTATGTAGTGTGTGAACACTGTCAATATATTCTTATTACTATACATAGTGACTGGGAAAAATGGCTTTCTTAAAAGCATACCCAATTTCTCTTCACTGTAGCCCTTTCAAGTAATTTTTTATGCAGCTCCTTTCCAATGCCATTCTCAAATCTTCTGACTATGTCTCGAGTTCTTTGATACTCTTCTTGATTTAGGAAAGGTTTCACTGCACAATATAAATGATTGAAAATATGTTTTAAACACATTTACTTCTCTACTTCAAGTAGCATTAAGGCTTCATCTTTACTATAAAACAAAACTTCTAGAGATCGCATATCATTCGAAATTTATTTCTAGCTCTCAACAGAAATGGATTCAGGTCATATAGGTAAAGGTTTCGCCTGTCCAGTTATATCTGACTCAAGAAAATGATGCTTATCTCCATTTCTTAGCCAAGGGAGCCAGCATGGTCCAAAGATGCTTCCATTGTCATGTGGTCAGCATAAATATACGCCATGGTAATGCTGTAACCTGGTTCTTCCCACCAAAATGGTACCTATTTACCTAACCGTATTTGCACACTTTTGAACTACTAGGTAAGCCAGACCTGGGTCAAATAATAGAAGCTCACCTATTGCGCAGGTCCTGAACCCAAACTGTCAACTTTCCAACTGACAAGCTCAGCATTTTTTCTTTTTTAACTGGTTTGTAAGATAAACATTGCAACATGAACATGTACTGTATGTCAGTTAGCTCCTTAACAACTCAATGTTTGCTTTCTAAACTGGGAACCTGCCCCATAATTCCTATTTTAGCCAGCATTTCTGAAGTGGTGTAGGGTTTCCTATCTAAGCAGGGGGTTGGACTAGAAGACCTCCAACGTCCCTTCCAACTCTGTTATTCTAATATGTGTTCAATTGGCAAATTCCCATTCAGGGTTCTACAGATATGAGGTCAAATGAAAGAATGTGTTAGGCACACATTATGAAAAACAGAGATCTTAGAAATTTGGAGAGGATTGCTTATAGAGCACATGTATCTTTACCAGCACAGATTAACAGCTTTTAGCAACAGCTGGAACAAAATTTGGCAATTTTCCATTTACAATAATTACTACAACAGTTAGAAATTAAAACCATCTTAGGTTTAAAATAATTAGTTTCCAGCTTTTCATAACAATATGTTGCAAGGATTCACAGGCTTTGCCATTGCAAATCTTAGACTATGACAAAATGACTTCATTCAGGGCCAGCTTAGTCTAGTGGTGAAAGCCCCCGCTAGAAACCAGGAGACTACGAGTTCTAGTCTCTCCTTGAGCCTGAAAACCTGCTAGGTAATTTTGGGCTAGTCACTCTCGCTCACCTCACAGGGCTGCTGTTGTGAAGAAAATAGGAAGAGGAAAGAGGATTAGGAATGGTCACTCTCGAGTCATTACAAACATATTAAAACAATTTTAATATTAAAATATTTTTAAAAAAATCTGAATAAAGTTTCTTTGCATAGAGAATGGAGATCAAATTGTTATCTAACATTATAGGATAAAACCCACTTTTCAATGGAATTTTTAATTGCAGAGTCTATATAAAAATTAAATAAAAAATTGTGCAAGAATACATTCCTGAAATTAAGACAGTGGGATTTCCTGTGATGATACAGTTAAGAAATGTGAAAGTGTTCTCATATATTATTATCAGCCGCAGAAGGCACAGATCTATAGAAAAGATGGCTAGTTTCCTCCCCAGCCATATTCTAGAGATAGAATCAAAAGCAATCTTCAAGTCAATGAAAGCATTATAATATACATACCTGCATCAAGGTATTTCGTTAGGGATTCATCAAGAGGAGGAACAGGAAGTGAAGGCAAGGAACTCTGGTATTGAAATGTGCTTTCTTCAGAAGAATCAGTTAATTGGTTTTCCATTATGTTGACCTATGGCAAGTAATAATATTTTTCATTTTGACATTTGTATTTCTGCAATTTACTTATATTTTAGTCTTTACATCATGAATATTTATATATAACAAAACAGGAAGAAAAGTTAATTTATGTTTACATCGCTTTCACGCTCCATCTGTTCAGCTTTTTATACAATAATTAAAATTTGCTTTAATTCTATTAGTGTTTAATGGACTCAGTTACAGTGGCAATGAATGCATCAGTTACAGTGGCAATGAATGCATTGTTAGTAGACTTGAAAGAACAGGTCCACAAGATAGATCATATTTGAGAAAATCTAACTATGTACAGGTAATTCCTGGGTTAAAATGTTACCTTAGCGACTGTTCCAAGTTACACGAGAAGTGCCCCCTAGTGTTTATGAACAAATCCCAAAATTATGAATATTGCAGTAGCATAACTGTTTTTCACTCTTACGAACGACTAGAGGCTCTGCAATGTTCACCCCACCTATTCCCCCACCCAGGTCTTCACAGGCATTTCAACTGAAGTGGCAGACTCACCTTACAAAGATCTCCTCTCTATCATAGTTTCTTTGCCTGCATTCACAGAGAACAGAGGCCTAACATACCGCAAGATCACACGAGATCAGTAGCATGAGATCTCGTGCTACTGATCTCATGTAATCTCACATTTTAAGTCTCTATTCTCTGCTAATTGAGGCCAGGACGTCTGCAAATGGAGGGAAGGCTTTGGTCCTTCAGGCCTTCTCTCCATTTGCCATTTCCTTCCCAAAGCCAGAGGGAGTTTGCGTTCTTGTAGGCTTTGGCAGCTCTTTGCAAAAAGCCTTTGTTGGCACCAGTGGAGCTAGGAAGGAGCAGGTGCATCCTCCAAAGTCCTGTTTCTACCGGCAAAAGCTTCTTGCAAGGGGTTGCCAAAGACCACAGGGACGCAATCCTCAAGTGCTTTGCTGATGAGAAAGGCTGTGTGTGACTTTCCAAGGATGCTTTCTCACTGGAGATCAGCTTGATGAGGCCTCCAGTGCAGAGAAAGCAGCCCCAAAAGGCTGCTTTCTCAGCACCAGAGGCCTCTTCAAGCCATTTGCTGACGAGAAAAGAGAGAGCAGGCTAAGAAACAGGCTGAAGAGGAGACAGATTTTCATAAGATAAGTCACCCAGTGCAGTAGGATGGGAGTGGGATCAATTGTGGGGACCCCAGGGGAGAGGGAATGAGGTATCTGAGGGTCAGGGGAGGCTTTGGGTGGTCTGGAGTAGATGACCTGTCCTTTCACTAGGCCCCCTACGGCCTTTCCCACCCTAAGATACTTCATGTGCACTTAACAAGCTGCACATTCACCCACACATTACATTAGTGTGGGCAAAGCAGGGACTTCAAGATACAATATTCACTCCCCCGAATTCTCAAGTTACGGAATGGACATTACATTTGTAACTAGTGGACTACCTGTAGTTACTAGGAGTCAAAAATTGATTGCACATAATCATAATTAATCATCTTTAACAGCGTTGTGTCGGATCAGACCTCTACATCTACAATTAGCAGTTTCAAGAAAACAGACAATACTTTAAAAATTTAGAAGACTAGAAGTTATTATAGAGTAATAATGTGCACATTCTGGTTTTTGTCTCCAAGTCATGTGCTACATGATCAAATTAAGGATGTGCCATTAGTGTTTTCAGCAATATATTGCATTTATATCATAAAAAAACTTTGAACCCAATTCTCTCCATTCCCTTTGTTAACCAGCAATGCACTCAACGGCCCCACCCCGTTTCACTGCTGCTTATCATGGCTCGTTAAAAGTTCAGGTGGACTTTTCCAGAAGAATTAGGAAATGCACCTGTGATACTACAGCTGAACATATTCTGCCACATGGTTGCAATGTAAAGAGGGGAAAAACACACATGGACACAAAAACCCCCACCTACTAAGATTGGTGTTCATTTAAAGCTCCTCCTTTGTGCCTTCCAAACAGATTAATCTTTAACTGCCCATCCTCGTTTAGACTGGACTGTTGAAAGAAACACACCTGAAATGCCTCATATTGAAAAATGCTATTTCAGTATAAACCCCACCCACCTACCCCCGCCCAATTGATCTCACGAACTTTTAGGGTGTCAGTTCAGGAGAAAGTTTCTTAAACTTGTTTTCTTTCAGGATCCCTTTCCCACTTTTAAAAATTATGAAAAAATTCCAAAAGAGCTTTGGTTTGCATGGGTTATGTACCATTGATATTTACCTTATTAAAAATTAAAACTGACCCACGTTTGCTGCCACTTTATTTTATTTTATTTGTCAAGCGATTATAAGATAACAGGTATAAGTATAAACATAGTTTTGAATATATGAGATGGATACTAAAGAAAAATAAGAAACAATAGGACAGGGACGACGCCTACAGGCCTCTTAGGAAGGGGGTGAGTTCAATAGTAGACAGACTAAAGTTTTTGGGGTTTGGGGAAGAAACCACAGTCAGGTAGAGTATTCCAGACACTGACCACTCTGTTGCTTAAGTCGTATTTCCTGCAGTCAAGTTTGGTGCGGTTTACCACTTCTCACGAATGTTTAATGAGATTTTAATACGACTGTATTTTTCAACACTAGGAAATAATTTTGATTGCAAAGCCCGCAGGAAAGGCTCTTCTGGGGGAAGGGGGAACTCGAATGCTAGCATTATTTTAAAAAAAAAAAAAAAAACCATTGCTCTACTCCATAAGGGAAACTCCCATATTATTAAGGCAAGATGTCCTAGTCCCGAGTTAGTTCTTCCAAGGTAAATATGTATCAATGGAAGAGAGCTAAGTTTTTAATTTAGTTAAGTTTCTATTTACTCAGCAACGCCCAGCGTTTTTCTATGTACTAGCACGAAGCTCCGTCTCTCAATCTTCGTGCAAAGCGTTTTTTGTCTCCAACAAACCGAAGACGCTCTACCATGTCCAGTCCCCAGAAGCTGGCAAGAGAGAAAAGCGGAGTAATAACGACCCTCCTTCAGCGAAAGGGGCCCTGAAGAACTAGGGCCGAGAACAGAGGAGAGGTCCCACCCCACGCCGAAGTCTTTCCCCGCTCGCAAGTTCCGCTCGCAAGTTCCGCTCGCAGTTTGCCGCTTCTCGGGAAAGCCCCCCACTCCAACCTCGTCGTCAGACCCCGCGGGCTGGTCAAAGGTCCCCCTCACCTTGTCTCCTGTCCCGCACCGCGCTCGTCAAGTCTTCTTCGAGTCAAAATAGGGGCTGAAGCAGAAGCAGAAGCAGAAGCAGAAGCAAGCGACTCCTCCCTTTCTCCTCCTCCACTTCTGCGCTTCATTTAAACTCACGCGAAAGGAAGGCGGGGAGGAAGGACTGGCGGCCAGGCCTTCTTTGGCGAGACCAAAAAGGCGCGTGCGGGGAGGACTTTCAAAGTTTCTCCACCACCCACTGAGGTTACAGATGCCGTGCTCTCGGCTTTAGTGGCCTGGATGGGGGCTAGGGTTCAACTGCGACCCTCACTCTGTCCATGGCAACGTTTTTCAACCTGGCTAACTTTGAGATGTGAAAGACTCCAACTCCCAGAATTCTCCAGTTAACGCGTGCTGGCTGAGGGATTCTGGGAATTGAAGTTCCTCTATCGTAAAAGTTGCTCAAGTTGAAAAACATTGCCCAACTTATTAGGTCGTTTCCGTCAGGAATGGACAAGTCCGATCCTCCTAATTTTAAATTCTGTCGGGTGACAGGCTACCTGCAATCTATCTCTGTAAAACAAGCAAGCACCATTCTCATTAGAGAGCGCACGCGTTTGGATTCTCCAGTAGTGTTAAAATTAGGAAAGTTTGGATCTTGGAGCATCACAATTTCAGCTGGCGTCCACCAGTTAAATAAGAAGTAATATCCATCTACACAAAATCACTACAATTTGAGGATAAGTGGTCCCAAGTTTTATTCTATTTATTATACCCATTTATACGGCACCCAACTAACATGTGACTCTGAGTGGCTTATAACATTGAAACTCCACAACACACACTCCACTCTCCCTTCATAGCAGCAGCACTGAAATTATTACTTATTATGCAAATTTATTTTAAAAAAATGGCCACAGAATCAAAGCATTAATAGGAATACTAGATGCCCATAAAAAGTACATATAGTCCTCAATCTATGATCATAAACGTGCCCCAAATTCCTGTGCTCAATGAGGCAGTAACTGAGCTGTGCCTCATTTTACAAACCATTTTTGCCACAGTTGTTAAGGGAATCATTGCAGTTAAGTTAATCACACAGTTACTAAGTGAATCTGGCTACCTCAGTTGATTGTGCTTGTCAGAAGCCAGCTGGGAAGATTACAAATGTTGATCATATGATCCTGGGATAGTGGAACTGTCCTAAATACATGCTAGTAGCCAAGCACTGGAATTTTGACCACATGACCATGGGGATGCAATGGTAATGAGCAGAGATGGTATTCAGCAAGTTCTGATCAGTTCTAGAGAACTGGTAATGGAAATTTTGAGTAGTTCAGAGAACGGGCAAACACCACCTTTGACTGGCCCCGCCCCCATCTATTCTCTGCCTCTTGAGTCTCAGCTGATTGGCTTCTTTTGTTGCCCTGCACAGGAGAATGGAGCTGGAAAGCAGGTTAGAGTGCAGTATTGCAAGCTACTCCTACTGCAATTTGGCAGATCGAATCCCACCAGGCTCAAAGTTGACTCAGCCATCCATTCTTCCGAGGTGGGTAAAATAAGGACCCAGATTGCTGGGCGCAATATTTATTTATTTTTATTTATTTATTTTGTCAATTGCTTATAAGATAATAGGTATAAGTAAAAACATAGTTATGAATACATGGATGCATATAAGAAAAATAAAAATAAAAGAAACAATAGGACAGGGACAGTAGGCACATTGGTGCGCTTATGCACGTCCCCTACAGATCTCTTAGGAAAGGGGTGACGTCAATAGTAGACAGTCTAAGGTTAAAGTTTTTGGGGTTTGGGGAAGAAACCATAGAATCAGTAGAGTATTCCAGACATTGACCATTCTGGTGTTGAAGTCATATTTCCTGCAATCAAGTTTGGTGCGGTTTGCCTTGAGTTTGTATCTATTGTGTGCTCTTGTATTGTTATGGATGAAGCTGAAGTGTTAATTGACAAGTAGGACATTGCAATGTATGATTTTATATACTATACTTAGATTGTACCAAAGGCGGCGTAGTTCTAGGTTTTCTAGGTCAGTAAAATCAGTGGTGGATTCAATTTTTTTTACTACCGGTTCTCCAGAAGTGGTCAGAATCTGCTGAATACCACCCCTGAGTAAAATGCATATAATTTGGCACAAGGACATCTAAAATTTCAGTAATATAATATTAAAAATAAGAATCACACTGAATCAACTTAATACTTGTCAACATTACACCAGTCACTATTATACTGCAAGTGTGAGAATTTTTTTAAAAAGTAAGTAATCTTTTATAAATGGAGAATCACACTTCTTTTATTTTAATAACCATATTTCTTGAAAATATGGACCAAGATGAAATAAAAGAAGAAAGTTATTTCTTAACTTGCCAGGTGTTTAGAATCTCTCAAGTCTTGCTTTCTAGTTTTTTATTCCCCGCCTACATAAAATATTTAAACATATTTCATCATATGCTTAATTTAAGATTCAAGAAAAAGACAACATTGTTACACTGCAAAAATGTTTTCATGATGTAATGTGTGTAAAATAAGATAGTAAACTAAGCCTGTATTCTTTAAGTATCTGTTACAAAGTCATAGAAGAAATTTTGTCTGGTTTTTGGTTTAAAATGTTAGAAGAAGAATTTGGAGTTCCAAGTTTAGCTAAAGTTGTGCAGGAGCAAATCAAAATGAAATCCAGACATTTATTTGGAAATAAATATTTATTTATTCCACAAAGTAAAGAGGTTTGCCTATGGGGATAGCTACAGAGAAAATGGGGGATAGAGAAGTTGTTTTGTAGGTAGACTGTACTTGGTGTGGGTTTGAGGTGCATGTTATTTCTAGTGTGTGACACTTGAAAGGCATGAATTTGTATACATATTGACTCAGAGAGAAGGCTAATTAAATCAAACAATGTAGTTTGAATCTCTTCATTTGAATTGTGACCATTATTGATGGAGTTCAATAACCAGTCATTTCAGTGTGCAAAGATGGCTGATTACATACGTAGAGTTTATTCATTTTACATGGTTTTCCACAAGTAGCAAAAGGCAACATAGATGCAGCATTAGGAATGGTGAATCCCACACACCAATTCTTAAGAATAGAGGTGATGTTAGTAAGATGAGATCACTGTACCAGGCACCTAACATAGAATGAGTCCTAGTATGAATTCAGTCAGTTGTTCAGTGATGCAATGTAGGTTGGTCTTGGCATCTGTGGTAATCAGCAGGAAGTTCATGGGGCAGTTTGTTTGGTGGAGGCTAACCACAATCAATCCTGTTTAGTTTTCAGTAGCTTGGAGAACTCTTCCTGAAGTAAGTGCAATTTCTCCTGATGCATTTCTATTGAAGCCAATTGAATCAAACAATCATTAGCCATTATTGTGGGGGAGCCACGGTTCTATTAACACTCACCATGTTCTATACTTTGCACTGCCAAGTCTGTTATTGCCCATTCAGGTTCCATATTGATATTGGGCATTTTCCAGGTGTGTTCCTGTAGCTCTCTCAGCTATGTTGATCAGTGCGAAAGCATGTTCTTTCCACACATGAGGTGTGCAAAGCTTTACTTGGGGGAAGGTTCTCTGTTAGGCATAGATCGGGTGGGGGGGGGGATGGTCAACACACCATTGATTGGAGTTCAGGATGGCTGGATTTCAAAGTGGTTTCCACTCCTTTAATGACCCTTGATCAGACAGGAGACAGATTAGCTGTGGAAGAGACTTCAAGAAAATTGATCAGTGTTATAACTGGCTTGGACTGTTAGAAACCTCACAATCTCCTAAGTTACCTGCTTTGCATCTTAGCCTTGTTGCCACAAGGCGCAGTGGAGTTACAGTTTCTTTCTCTTAATTGTATTGATAATAAAAATGAACAGCAAACAGTAAATTAACCAGGAATTAATTGAACCCAGCTAGCTAAAATTAGGACTGATTAAATTATTTACTAGAGTGGCTTCTCCCTCTTCTGCCAGTTTCCTTGCAGCACTGACAAATTACAGGCAAGACTAAAAACATCTAAGATTTTCAAAACAGAACTCTTGCCCCACTTCTTTGGGGAAGGGTTGTTTTCCCCAAGTCAGGTCTGAGCCTGGTGCCAAAGTTGTTGAAGAACGCCAGACACAAGGTGCAGGTTTGTTTCCTTTTATTGAAGTGATTCAACAAAAAAGGCCCCAGCCAGCAAAATGCCAGAACAAACAAAGGATTCAACAAGCTTCTATATGGTTTTTCAAGGCGAGATAAACAAGCCGTGTCTAACAGACATTCTGAAATTTCTCTAAAGGTTCTCTGTTGGCTCCATACCGTTCCTATTTCTAAGTTTTAATTAATAAGCACTTCAAGAGTTATCTAACAAGTGTTCTATTGGTTCTATTTGAACCTTATTTCTAAAAGTTAACTAATAGGCATCCTATAAGGCTCTGTCTTATCCCTATTCCTTATCTTAACGATATGTCTTGTATGATGTACATGACAGGCAACTCTTGTTTTCGACATTGAAAGGGGCCCCACCCGTCCACACTCCCTTTTCCTTTATCTTTTTTATGTAAGCCTTGCAAATACACATCTCCTTTCTTCCTTCTGAGTTCATGCCATAACCTTGCATTTTTACAACAAATTGGCCCTAAAACAAATGGCTCATCCTCCTCCATCCCCTTTGAATCTGAAAAGTTTTCCAAGATTCACCTAATACCGATCGATATCTGTGTGTGGAGAGACTATGTTGTCTGCCTGCAAGCAGAAAGGCAATGTGGAAGACACTGCAAGCCACAAAAGACGATTAACAGAATAAAAGATAGACACAAAGACCCTTTTGCTTAAAGGAGGTCTTCTTCTGAATGTTCCTTAACAGTTCAGCCAGCTGGGCAGAAGTGTTGACTGTTAATAGCTTAGCTTCTATAATTCCTCACAATGCAAACACTGCATATCCTGCCTTTCTGTGGTCTTCCATCATAAACCTACTACTATCCGTAAACCATTCGCAGTTTATTTTATTTTTATTTTATTTTATTTGTCAATTGTTTACAAGATAATAAGTGTATACATAGTTATGAATACATGAAATGGGTAC